CCGAAAAAAGATGTGTCGACAAAAAAGATGTTATCGACAGAGGAAGGATAGTGGCTTACCAAAAGTGTCGATTATCTTTCAGGGTAATCGGTAGTCGTGTTGGACGAAACCAAACAACTGTAATGCGGATATGTGACCGTTGGATGCAGGAGGGTACGAAGGACTGACGTATTCGATCGCATCCACCTCAGTGCACCACTTCACGTGATGACAGGAACATTGTGCACATGGCCGTGACGGATCGCTCAGTCGCATCACGAACCATAGCACAGCACATTCAGTCTGTAATGCATCATCCAGTGTCTGTGCGTACCATTCGACGCCGTTTACAGCAGAGTGGTCTGTCCACAAGACGTCCATTGCTTCGTCTACCCTTGACGCAGAACCACAGACGTCTCTGCCGCCAATGGTGCGATGAAAGAAAAGTGTGGACGGCAGAATAGAATGAAATTGTCTTTACTAACGAGTCACGCTTCTGTCTGCAACACCACGATGGTCGGATTCGAGTCTGGAGACACCGTGGAGAGAGGATGCTGAACAACTGCATTATGCACCGCCACACTGGTCCTGCACCGGGTATTACAGTATGGGGTGGTATTCGATATCCCTCTCGCACTCCTCTAGCACGCATTGCCGGTACTTTAAACAGCCAGCGCTACATCTCCGAGGTGTTGGAGCCAGTTGTCCTTCCTCACTTTCAGGGCTTGCCCACAGCTGCATTTTAACAGGATAATGCACGACCACACGTGGCACGCATTGTCCAAGGGTTCTTCGTCAATCACCAGATTGAATTGCTTTCCTGGCCGGCTCACTCTCCGGATCTTTCGCCGATAGAAAACATGTGGTCCATGGTTGCTAAACGATTGACCCAGATTACATCCCAAGCTGCCACACCAGATCAACTTTGGCAACGTGTGGAAGCTGCTTGATCTGCTGTACCCCAAGAACACATCTAAAGTCTCTTTGAATCCATGCCGAGGCGTGTGGCAGCGGTGATCTCCAACAATGGCGGCTACTCTGGCTACTGATTCTAGAAGGAACTACACTTCACACCTCAATGCATCACTTCACGTGATAAATAGAAGAAGTCTATAAATTTAATCATTTGATACTTGGTCATCGTGTTATCTACTAAATAAATTTTGCTGTGATATCTCTTGTCTTTCTTGGTGTTGCAATTTGTGTGGCCAGGAGTGTAAATTAAAAATGCAGCAAACATCTACAATAAAACATTTAACTTTCTATTTGCTTTGTCCATGTGCACAGCGACCTGTTTGAACTTTAAAAAAAAAAAAAAAAAAAAAAAAAAAAAACATTAGAGAACTGCAGAATTCTCAGTATTTGCTGAGCAAACTGGCACTGCTCTGCATATACACATTGACCTGTTTTACTTTGAAGTAAAAAATAAGTAAATAAAAAAATAGAAAATCATAAATAAAAATAAGAACAAAGGAAATCTGAAAGGTTTCATATTTTAAATTATATCCATCTTTTTTTTACATTTTGTCTGTTACCTTTATTTATTAAATATCACGTTCTTCGCACTTAAACCATCAAATTCAGTTGAAAGAGCAATATCGCAAAATAGCTTTAAATTGAGCATATCCTTTAGAATTTCCGATACAGAGTCTCGCGTGCTAGAGATAAAAAAAATTTCTGTACAATGTTGCCATTGCTCGCTTTTAAATCGTTGAGTTTGTTAATCAGAAATTCGTTAAAATTTTACAAAATATTAAATCGATAATAAAACAAATTTCAAATTTGGGCTTTCAGATGTCCATATTCGCAGTAGGATTATGTCATTTAAAATTGGATGGCTCTAGGTACCGTTGTTTTGTTTTATCACAATGCGAAAAACATACATACATTTATGTAGATTCTTCATTATTTAATTTCTTGAAATATAATAAAGGGCGATAGTATTTGGTGGCAACGATTTGAAAAGTGATACAGCCTTTTAGTTTTCAACGCAAAATCGCAAAACGAAAACAATCAGGAACAAAGCCCCTTTTAACTAAAAAATATATATATATATATTCCAAGTCTTTAAATAACAAGCAAAAAAATATATAATTCTTATTACCAAGTATTTCAGTAATAGTTAGCAAAAGTTACGGAGCATAATCATTACCACATTTTAGCATAATTAAAAACTTTTAAGTTTAATTACTTAAATTTAAAAACAAGTAATATAAAAAAATTTAAGTCAATTCTTTCTTAGGTCAACAAAGAAAAATATTATTTTAATTACTTTTTATTAACATTATTAAGATTTTTTCATTTCCTATTAATGAAGCTGATAGTGGTCTATTATTTCTTATTCAATCCACCTCTTGTAATGCTTCATTATTGCAAGGAACCTTTCCAGTGAGTTTCGAGCAGTCCAGTTCTTCAATTAATATTTTATGCAATGATTTCACACGACTCAAGGCGACATATGCTTGACCTGCTGCTGTTTTTCTTTCTCTAATCGTCGCTTGCGTTGTGTCGTAGTTTCTTTTCGCATTCTCCGTTTGTGAAGCAAGGAACATTTTAAAGGGTTATATTTTAAACATATGACTATTATGACGTTAACATAGAAATATGGGGAGATTTTAATGGGACACTACATCCTCTTTATCCAACCCTATAAAACTACAATTCTTTAATTCCACACACTTTAAAAATCTTTAGAACTTTGTCTAACTGTTGCCACTTATTTTGTTAAATATTATAATCCCATTTATCACAGTCATGTACTATTATTTATAAGTTGTTATATACAGTGTCTCAAGAAAGTGATGGGACACTTGTGTTTTACAAAAAGAAACAGTAATAAAAAAAATTAAAAAACATGTAAAAATTTTTTGTGGGTGTGTTTCATACTTAAATTTAGTAACAATTCTTACATAACATACATTTTCTCAAAATATTGAAATATTAATTTAATAAAAATACAATTGTTTAGAACGGAGCAAAAAATGGCTCACATAAGTGATGGCACACTACGTACTATGCAACAAAAATCGTCTAAAGTAAGCAATAAAAATATCTTTTGGGGTATTTATTTTTACTCAAAAGCAATTGGCAATAACTTATAAAATCGTCTGCAGTATTTCTCTCCAGTTTGTTTTGGAATTTTTGTGTTTTTTAGCTCTGTGCAGCCATGAATGCTAAACGAAAAGAAACTTTGCCTAAAATTCGAAAATTAGTTATTAATTTGCATATTGAACGTGGAAAATCTATTAGAGAACCTCCTAAAACAGTTAACTTGAGTCATTCAACAGTTTGCAATATCATTAAACGATATAAAAAGAATCATATGATTCAGGATAAAAGAATACCTGGCCGACCATCAAAGCTATCCAATGGAATAAAGCGAATTATCGTTCGAAATATTAAAAAAAATCCAAGAATGAGTGCTCCTAAAGTTGCTGCTGAGTTACAAGCATTATATGGAGTAACTATTAAACCTGAGACTATTAGAAGAGTAATTCGATCTGCTGGATATCACGGTAGAGCAGCGAGGAAAAAATTCTTCGTAAGTGAAAAGAATAGAAAACTCAGACTGGCTTTCGCAAAATCCAACATAAATAAGAATTCTGATTACTGGAATGAAGTTATATTTGCTGATGAGAGTAAATTTAATATATTTGGTTCTGACGGTAGAATCTTGGTATGGAGAAAACCCAGGGAAGAATTTCGCAAACAGAACTTGGTGCCAACAGTAAAACATGGTGGAGGAGGAGTTATGGTATGGGGGTGTATGTCGTCCGCTGGAGTTGGTAATCTTGTTTTTATTGACAGTATAATGGATCGGTACAAGTATATTGACATTTTATATAAAAATTTGAAATCTTCAGCACGAAAATTGAACCTTCATAACAATTTTAAATTCTACCATGACAATGACCCCAAGCACACTGCTTTGAACGTTAGACTCTGGCTGCTGTATAACTGTCCTGAAATAATAAAAACACCACCACAATCTCCAGACTTAAATCCCATAGAGAATATTTGGCAAGAATTGGAATCAAGAATTCGCAAACACACCATATCTTCAAAACAACAATTAAAATCGGTGCTTCAAGAAGAATGGGATAAAATCACTCCAGAAATCACAAAAAAATTAGTGGAATCCATCCCAAGAAGATTAAATCACGTTTTAAAAGGAAAAGGAAATCCTACAAAATTTTACTTTTAAAATTAAAATTTTTGGATAAATATTTGATGGAAAAGTAAGTGTCCCATCACTTACGTGTGCCATTTTTTGCTCCGTTCTAAACAATTGCATTTTTATTAAATTAATATTTTAATATTTTGAGAAAATGTATGTTATGTAATAATTGTTACTAAATTTAAGTATGAAACACACCCAGAAAAAATTTTTACTGTTTTTTAAATTTATTTTACTACAGTTTCCTTTTGTAAAGCACAAGTGTCCCATCACTTTTTTGTGTCACTGTAATTAATTTTTACAGCACTTGAGAATTCCTAATAAGCGGCCATTATTTGTAAGTCTTATAATATATTTAATAAAAACAGCATAACTTTAGTTCCGATAAACAGGAATAAATAAGTAAGAATTGACTTTAATATGCGAAAAAACTGTATTAACATTAAGTGTCATCCACTACAAGTTTAAAAAAGTATATTTGAACTTGAGTGGATTATTCATCCAAGTATAAAGTATTTTGTTAAAGATCGAAAATTTGAACAAGATATAGGGAGAGTGTGAGCTAGTAGTAGGAATTTCATGAACAAATAGATAAATAAAAAAACAATTAACAATTTTTTTTCTATTTTAAAATGTTGCAAAATAAATAAATTTGGGGAAAACTATAAAATAAGAACTCAGTAGATATATTTCAGAAGCATAATTAAATAATAAGGGGGGAATTTTTAGTAAATAAAAGCAGTTTTACAAAGATGCAAAATGTTGCTTTCAGTTAATAGAGACAAATTAAATGCACATAATATATAAAGAAGTAAAAAAAAATACTACTACGGTTACTGCTTACCTCAATAAAATTTTGATTGCGTCCAAACTGTGTTTGACTTTTCGAAATTTGTCATTTACTTCAGGAATTAAAAGTGGTAATCTTGGAAATCGTTTCTTAATCTCCACCCATTTTTTTTCCTCTACAATTTCACTCACTGTTTCACCGGTGTTAGAAGATACTTCTATCATAACCTTCACAGAATCAAACGGATAATCTTTTTTCACACTTTCTATGGTCATTTTACTTTTTATGCTTTCTTCACTCTGTCTTGTTTCTCTGTGCGTATCAGAAATATCTTCATTATTTTTTCTTTTCGAAAATATATTTTTTTCCTCTTTTTTCTTACAATATTCATTATTTCTTCCTTGTATGGAATAGCTTGATTCGAAACCTGATGATTCCCCGGAAAATAAATTTCCATCCACTGCAGTGCTGGGATTGGATTTACTTTCTTCATAAAAATTCCTAAGACCAGTTACTGCTCTTAGGTTTTCTTTTCGGGATCCGTCAAACTCTTTGTTTACTGGCTGCATTCCATATTCTTCTTTATGGAAGATTTGTGGACATTCCACTGGAAAGACCTGATGTACAATCATGTCCCGACGTTGTTGTAAAATGTCCGTTTCCAGTTCTTCGAGAAAATCAGTGCAATCCCAAATTCCACCGCAATATTCAGTTTCTTTTTTCTTTGCAGCAGAGTTGCGCCTCAAAAGCACTTCTTGAAAAACATCGTCCATCCAAGCTTCACGTTGACGAATTTGTGAAGGGAATTGCGATTCATTTTTTTCACGTTTAATGCCCATGATTTAATTACGCACACGCAAGGGATTTAACAGGTTTTTTGACACAACGCAACGACTATCAAATGTCAGCGCCAAACGCGAACTGAAACAATCTTGTTTACTTCCCGTTCGCTAGCCGCTCCGCTCTCTATCGGCTCAATTCCAATGCGCATATCCGCATCAGACAAGAGTATGGGCGAGGAGGAGATGTTCCAGCGTAAAAGTTTCTGTTTGTAGCCTAGCTGTCGTCGCGCGATTGGTCGGCGATATTCAAGGTTATCCCAGCATTCCATGGGGCATTTATCTACATGTTATCGACCGCATATGAAAGTCTCGGAGTCGTTTTGACTTATTTTTGTCTGCATACATCCTGGACCAGAAAACATAACTGTAAGAAATAGTAAATGCATATAATTGAATTGAATGGAAATAACCATATTTACATTTTCGGGAAAAATGAATGTCTGCTTAAGTTGCTAAACATTCTTACGCTTTCGTAATTAGGAATAAAACAATTTTAGAAGTCAACAGCACAATACTCATTAAAAATATCTATTACAAGAGCAGTAGCTATTATTAAAATGGATATACTGTATATGCTTTTTCCTCGCGTTATGGAAAAGCGGAGGCAACCAGAGCCAGCAAATTTGGCATACATGTAATCGTCTGTCAGAAAATGTGCAATTTCGAAATTGTTTTTCATTTAGTTTATACTTTGCGCACACTTAATAAAACTGAATAAGATACTTTTTTTTTAAAGCAATGTGTTGCATAAGATATTAATAATGTGTTGCATATTTTTAGTTTCAATCAGTAAGTCGAGCGATTTAAAAGAAATGTGATGCCACTTGCCAGTGGGTAAGATATTTGTTTTAGTATTTGCCGAGAGTAAGACAATCACTCGGCAAACTCAGCACTTTGAAGAAATATATTGCCACTCCCGAAAAAAAATATTTTTAATCTTCCACTCGCTAATGTGTTGCCTTACTAAATATCCTAATAAAACTAAATATCCTACGCTTTGCTTACGACAAAGCGCAGGATATTTAGTTTTCAAATTTAATGTTTCTGTTACACATTACAAAATCGAGCATTTTAAGAGCACTTTGTTATTATTAGTTAGTAACTGGAACGCTAGCTTAATTCCTGAAAATAACTGTGTATTTTTTTTTAGCCCCAAAGGGGCTATTAGTTTCGAAATGGGATTTTGGGTGGTTCGCTATAAACGGCGTATTTACTTATTAAATTTTAACCACTGACCTATTTGATGAACTACACTCATGTCCATAAATTAAGGATAATGAAAAATCAGGCAAAGGAAGAGTTACAAGCAAAACAAATTTGACTTATTTGTAAAGCTTATTTATTAAACAAAAGGTAAAGAGCAAAATAAGATGCTACATGTTTGATATTATTAAAAAAATTAGCGAATTTTTCTCCCTGGAGCAAATTACAAAAAAAAAAAAAAAAAAAAAAAAAAAAAAACCTATTTACAAAAAACCAATATTACATGGTTGGTATGATTGTTAATACACTGTATGTCTCACAGACGGTGCAATACAGTCCGTATAAAGCCTAGGCATACTGAGTATCAAATTATCGATCTGATCTTGGGGGATATTACACCACTCAAAAAGCAATGCTCTCCGAAGTTCGGTAGACATGTAGGAGGAGGTTTACGGGCCGCAACTCGTCGGCCAAGCATGTCCCACACGTGCTCTACTGGATTCAAGTCCGGTGAGAATGCTGGCCAGTCCATACGGGTGATATCCTCCGATTGAAGGCATTCGCTTACGACGTTTGCACGGTGAGGACGGGCGTTGTCATCCACAAACACAAATTGTGCACCCATGGCGCCCCGAAACAAACGAACATGTTGTTCCAGAATGACGTCCCGATAGATTTGGCTTGTCATGGTTCCAATCTGAACACGCAGGCCAGTTCTGGAACCCAGAATAATTCCACCTCAAACGAGCACTCCTGCACCACCGTAACGGTGTCGTTCAATGATGTTTTCTTGGTGGTAACGGGTACCTGGAGCTCTCCATATGAACGTCCGGCGAGATTCAGACTGCAAGCTAAACCTGGACTCGTTGGAAAACATCACACAAGCCCATTGTTGCGGTGTCCGTAATGCATGCTCTCTACTCCAGGCTAACCGCAGGCGACAGTGAGTTGCAGTAAGTGGAACGCATCTGACAGGTCTACGAGCATATAGACCAATCTGCCCTAATCGTCTGTACACGGTCTGCCTTGAAATTGTCGTACCAGTGGCTGAAGAAAGCTGACAAGACAGGACTGAGGCTGTGCTCCACCTGTTTCTTTTGGCAATAACTGCCAAATACCGGTCCTCATTCGGCGTTGTAACTCTGGGGCGACCTGTGCTGTAACGTCTACTCACATTACCATCATCTTGGAATCGTTGCCAAAGCCTGGAGATGACACTCGGGGCAATTCCAAGTCCGTCTGATACTTCCAGTTGAGTACGCTCACATTCCAGACGGCCGATAATTCTACCACGTAAAAAATCATCCAAATGCGTCCTTTGTGTCATAACTATTCGGTTATTGCACTGAAATGCTTATAAAGCGCCTGCGAACAATTTTACTTCTTTGCCTGTATTCCTTATATATCACTCTCTTACACTCTCGTCATTGTGACGTACCATCGGTGTCATCTGGTTACTTCCTGAAATTTGCATATAATTCTTGAAGATGTGTGTTGTGATTTTACAGGTGATATATTTATTTTAGAGTTCGATTTCCTCGTGACTCCGAATTATCCTTAATTTATGGACATGAGTGTATATATATATGTAATATGGTGTAACCACCATATTCATCAAATTCTCTTTTTAAGAAATTAAATAATGAATAATCTTTATGTCTGTCTCTATGTATGTATGTTCCTCGCATTGTGAAGAAACGACGGTATCTAGAGGTATCAAATTTTGAATAGCTTATTCCTTTCCCCGAATATGTGTTCCTGGAAGCCCAAATTTTGAATTTCGAGTTAGCTTTACTATTTATTTCATATTTTGCAAAATTTTAACTAAATTTTGATTAACAAACTCAACGATTTAATTGCGAGCAGTGGTAACATTGCTCGCAATTAAACACTTTCATGTCCAGCGCACTAGACTGTTGCTATTCGAGAAAATGTAAGATGTGTAAGGATCTTAAGTTTTACTAACGTTTATTTTATTTTAAATCTTTACTATCACTTCTTATTTTCTACTTCCGGCCAGAATTATAAGCGTTAAGGTTTTTGCAAAGTTTGTCTGGCGAACGCCAAGTATTTAAGTTGTGGCTTTTTGCCAAGCGAGAGAGAGGAAGCAGTGAGTTCGAAACAGGCCGCTTACCTTAGAAGTTACGCAGTTGCTTGTTGCCTTCCAGGCCAGAGGTTTTAATCCTCTTGATAACTTTTAAACGTATTGTAGTGTTCTCAGTTATCTGTACTACATACGCCTTCCTGTTAATATAAGGCCAATCTTCCACGTTTATTATTCTAAAGTTAAATTAGAGTTTAGTTTTATTTTTATACTTTTACGTTAGACCCCAAGTGGCGGGTCAGTGTATTTCGAAGTACGGAAGTTATTGTATATAGAGAAAAATAAAGGGTTTTGTATACCCTTCGTCTGTATCCTGTCTACTTACCACAATTAGTGAACATAGCTTTAGTAAGCTCTCTGTTCCGAGTCAGGTCCTTGTATGTTCCCGAAGAAGGTAAGAAGGAACATTGAACCTGATAGATGTTTATTCTTCAATTATAATTAAAAAACTCGGCTCTGTGGAAGCAATGTATTGCTGCAGCCGGAAATGAAACACTTCTATCTTGCACGCACTAGAGTGCTGCCATTCAGTAAAGCTTAAGATACTTTCAAATTAAATTGGAAGGATTTATGTAATAAACTAAGCAATTTAGACAATAAACACAGTTCTTAAGAATATGTTTTTCTACTTTTTAATGCGATTGATTTAAATAAACATGCATAAAAATCATGAGATGTCTAATTAGAAATAGTCAGTGTTTTTATGAAATGATGTTAGTTGGGCTCATTAAAATCATTGTATACATTTTTCTTTTTTATAATAACTATTTAAGGTTGCTAATTATGGAAACGGTTAATTTTAAAAGAATTAATGTAGCGAATATAAAAATATATATCGCAACCTCCAACACTCTATCGAAAATTCAAAAGATATGCTGTTTTTGACTATTTTATGATTTTGCTGTTGAACTAAATTTTAATTGTCGTAAGTATGAAGAACATCATATTTAATAAATAAACATAAACATAAAAAATAATAAAAAGACAAAGCCATTTTTCCTAAGAAAACCGAATACTGATAGGATAAATTGAGAAAAGATTAAAAAATATAAAAATGCAGGCCAACACTTAACATTGCAATGGGAATTCTAAACACATGCTGCATAAGCAGCCTTTATAAATTCTGTGCTTTTGTTGAACTGCATGTGGAGTATGTGCGGAGAAAACGGTGCTGAATAACAGAGCTAAAAAGAGAAAAAAAGGGAGATGATTAGAGGGAGTGAGGGCAAGAGCAGACTATTGGACTGAGAGAGCACAAAAGACCCTTTTGGAAGACTGGTCAAAATCTGAAAGCTTTCCGAATATATATATATATTTAATAATACTTATTTTAGGTAGCTGGCAGTCGTAAGCAGTTAATGAAATAAAAATCTGTCTAGAAGAATTATTACTTTCCGCACATAAACTGAGCATCATTCAATGTGTTTGAACTCCTAATACAAATTATTGATACGCCAAAAACATCTTTATTGTTGTATTTATTTTAAATTTCTTTTTTTTTAAGACACATAGTCGCATATGGTATTACATATTGAATTAGCCTCAGCTAACATTTTTCGTGTCACTCTTTAATACAATAAAAACACGAAGGTACTGCACATGCTAAAGCTGTAGAGAGGTATTTTTGGAAGCAGGCAAGATGAAAAATGAACAACGCCTTCACCGGGAACCGAACCAAAGACCTCTGGAATACGCGCCAGCGTGTAGACCACCACACTACGAAGGCATGCCAATTTATCCTTATAAAGCATTCGCAAACACAATGCACATAATACATGCACTATTGAATAATATATGCCCTTTTACCCGGTTATGAAATCAAATCTCATGATTTATTTATTACCTTTAG